CAGCTCTGATACATGGAGAACACTTTGTTGTTTTTTTTCCCCAGACAGAGTTTCTCTGTGTAACAGTCCTGGCTGTCCTGGATCTTATTTTGTTGACCAGGCTGGCCTCGAACTCACTGAGATCCACTTGCCTCTGCCTCCCAAGTACTGGGACTAAAGGTGTGTGCCACCACAGCCCAACTAGAGAACACTTCTTAAGAAAGCTTTAATTGTTTCACTATGTTTTTAGAGCACAGGTATTATTCTTACTGAAAAAACACAAACACTTGAATATATCTTCAATAACAATAAATTAAAATCACTGGCATGGCTCAATGATCAATATATGAACACACAAAATACAAACTTGAAACAATCTCAACTGCTGGCAAAGGATAGGCACATTAAGTAGTAGTCTGTAATGCCATTAGCCACAATCTGCTCAGGCTAAAGCCCTGGAGCCCTCTGATGACACTATCATATAAATAGTTTGCAGGAGAGATGAGATGATAACACTTCTGGGAAACAAAGAGTTAGGAAAGCAAGGCCAACATCTCTAAGGTGGAAAATGAGCATCTGTATTGATAGTAGGTAATTTGAATGTAGAATGAAAAACAGCTATTTCTAGAATGATGGATGCCAAGGAAGAGTTTACACATTTGCATTGTATTTAAATGTTCATTAATATTTGTCAATATCTAAATAAATATAACTGTGAGTTGGTTTGTCTGTTTATGGAGACAAGTTCTCACTCAATAGTCCAGGCTGACCTGGAGCTCACTATGTAGCCTAAACTAGTCTCAAATTCAGAATGATCCTCCTGCCTAAGTCTCCCAAAATTGAGGTTATAAGCATGAGTTACAATGCCCGGCTATAACTGTCACTGTAATATTTTCAACAATGAAGAAAACAAAACAGCTCAAGTAGAAAAGAAATGGTGAGTCACCATGAATTATCACCTATCAAACCACAAAGGTGACTAATACATGCAGAAATATGATCACCAAACCTTAAACTAACAGATGGGCTGTTTTTACCAATGAACAATCACATTATTTATATCTTTTCCTTTATCAACTTAAATTGATGCTAGAAACATCTCAGAGAACAAATCATGTCTTATTAAAACAACAGGACTTCTCTGCTCATATTTGAAAATTAGTTGCCACTTATAAACATTTACTTGTCTCTTTTTAAACTACACAAAGTTGTAAACTGAATCTAACTCAATAACATTGTTTCCAGGGGCGATATGTAGTCTGATTATCAACAGTGGATCATAGGTAAAACCCTTTTTTCAACATTTTAACTCTGTAGTGGTTTTGTATGTGTATAAGATAGTGCCCCAAATTTACCTCTATATTATTTCATTAATTTAAAGCCACTGCCAAAATTTATACCACCCATTCAACTGATATAAAGACCAATACTTTAAGTTATGTAATACTAATTTTAGGGGGGAAAGTAAGAATACCATATTGTCTGTTAACAGTTGGGAGTAATAACTGTTGGGAATAAGAGGAAATATTTTCAGAATAACAAATCTCAATACCAGAAGGGCTTTACTTAAATGGCAGAAGCTGTGCTGGCTCATCACCACCCAGGTTTTAGCTTGCTTTCTTCTTTTTCTTCTTTTTTTAGAATGTAGAATGAAATAAAATTAAAAAACATGCATTTAAGATTAAAAAAAATGTCAATAGTTCCTCCACTTTTCTTCAAGAGAAAAGGACAAACATAAACAAACAAACCAACCCACCTTTTTATTAAAGGAAATGAAATGGTATTTTTCAGATGCTGGAGGACTAAAATTGTTTAGTATTGAAGGTAGAGAAGAATATTAGACCATATATTGGGATCATAACGACTGTCTTAGAGCATTGTGACTGTTTCACTATTCACAAGGATAGAGAGAAGCAATGAAACACAAATACACAAGCAAAAAATCCAAAACAAACTTTTCTTCATCAAAACCAAGATGGCCACAACTTCAATAACCATATCAAAATACAAGTCAAAAAGCTACATTTGAAATTGGGAATAAACACAGTAAACATGCTCTGCCTTCAAAGGCAGCAAGGAATGTATTTTATTGACTAGTTTTAGAAGTCAGCTGTTATAAACATAAAAAGACATGAAAAGTTGAATTGCAAACTGAAAATTTTAAAGAAAATCAAAATGTTCTCTCAGTAACATTTAATATAAGATAACAGCTTTTGCAGATAAGCAATATTCTAAAACAAAAATGATATTGATTCAAAACAGGCTTTCACAAAAATAAACTGAGAAATATCTACAAAGCAAGTTCTCTGTGCTTGCTTGAATTGTGCAAACAAGTGTGTTCAGAATTGAAACTACTTATTTCAATAAACCCACCATCAATTGTAGCTTTCATCTTTGAGAAAAGTCTAATATATATGTTAATCTTCATGACTGATATAGCCATCTTAGAAAACGTATGAGTAAATTATAATGGTAAGAACAGATTACCCTATCTTTATTTGATAATAAGTGTTACTTTCTGTCATGAAACAAAGTAGTACTTTCTGGATGACTTGATTGCTCATGTGTTTTTTTGTTTCTTCTGTTAAGACATTAAATAAAACACATATAACAAACCATAGCCATATATAATAAACCATAGCCAAACACCTCTATAACAAAAGGCAGGTGTGCCATGTCTTCAGCTGGACAGAAGACTCCTCACTCATTCCGTGGAGCTGGCAAAAGAACCAAAGCTTTTTCAGGATATGCAAGTGCTCTATCACTGAACTGCAGCCCCAGAAAATTTTTGTACTGCTTTAATAAGGCAGAGTGTCTAATTAAAAAAAAAATTATTTTTGTTTGTGTATATGTGTGTGTTTATATGAGTTTATGTGCACCATGTGTGTACAGGTGCTGGCAGAGGCAAGAGTTAAAGGCAATTTTGAGCTGCCTGATATAGGTGTTATGAACTTAAACAGGGCCCCCTGGAAGAGCAATAAGTGCTCTTAACTGCTGAGCCTTCCAATTGTCCCATATTTTTAAATCAGCAAGTACTTTGATTTAAATGTCACCACTGAAAAAGGACTAGGTGTGACTAGGTGTTTAATTTTAAATGCATTAGTCTTAAAGTAATTCAAGACTCATAATTTATAAAGAGCTAGTTCTCAAGACTATAGCCATAGATATTTTATAAACAAGCTCAATTCAAGGATTAGCTTCCAGCTTTCAACAATTAACAACAAATACATAATTTTTCCAATTGCAAGAATTTGGGCTACCATTGTTCATTCTCCACATGCTACATAAGCATAATACACAATGTATTTTGAACTTATATTAGTTAAATCCTTATGTCAGTTCATATCTATTGATACAGAAATACGTTGGGTGTGGTGGCACACAGTTTTAATCTTAGCACTTGACAGGCTAAGTGTATTTCTTCAAGTTCCAGGCTAGCTAGGACTACATAGTGAGATTCTGTAGACTCTAAGAACAAAAAATCCAAAATATGTTCAGGTGAAACTGCAAGTAATGCAGAATTGTCAGACCACCCCAAATCTACCTTTCAACTAATACTATTTGTCCTCAGTAGGGTGACAAGAGTTAGGGAGACATTTTCTTGAATGTGTTCTTTACATTTAAAAGAAAGAAAAAAAAAATCAGGGCTGGAGAGATGGCTCAGGAGTTAGGAGCACTTGAGTGTTTTTGTTTTTGTTTTTTTTTTTCAGAGCACCGAGGTTTGATCCCTGCACTCACATGGCAGCTCACAATCATCCATACTACAGTTACAAATGATCTGATACCTTCTTAGGACAAAGGGGCAAACACCCATACACATAAAATACATAAATAAATAAAAATAATTCCCGTGACGGCTAACGTTAAGTTGATGGCTATGTTTAAAATTAAAATCTCTGTGCTTAAGAGAACTACAAATCAACATTAGACCTCTAAATGTAAAGAGATGTTAAGGATTCAATTTTTTACTGCTGTTTGTACTTCTGTAAACAAGCTTGTTTTTGTACGAGAGAACCTTTTGTTTGCACTAGAACAAATTGTAACTTTGTATTCTTTGCCTTTATAAACCCCTGACTGACATGCCTGGGCGCTGCATTCCAGACTCCCGAGCTTGTTAAAAGTTATTAATCGTCAGACTGGTGAATCTCTGAATGACCCCAGACCCATAAAATTTTCCAAGCCGGCGTGACAGCTCAGCAGGTACAGACATTTACTGCCAAGCTGTACAACCTGAGTTCCAGCCCACTTGATGGAAAAAGAACCGATCCCCTCAAGTTGTTCTCTGTCCTCCAGAGGTACCATGGCACATGAAACCCTACAGGCACACTCAAAAACACTAAAGTTAAGAGGAATGTAATATAAATCCAATTTCAGACGAAGAAATTTGGTGCAGTGCTGGGCATGGAATTTACGGCCTTGCCCACGTTAGGAAAGCGCTGTACCCTGGGGCTACATACCCGGTCTAGGGAAGCCAAGGGCTACTTTTTCACAAGTGAGGAGTCAATCAATACTTTGTAAACACCGGGTGGAAACTAAGCAGGAAATAGCTACTTATTGAATAAAAGTTTCATTCTGTATTTCCAACAAAAGCTCAATATTTAAACTTTCATTGTCAAAAATTATTTTTAAAACTGCATTAGACTGGACTACCCATAAGTTAGTGAAAAACGAGCTTCATAAGCGTGGGCTCAACTGCATAAAGTTAGTCTGTAAGCGGGCAGGATTCGAAGTCCAAGCTGCTAGTAATACACCGCAGCTTTTAGCGTCAGGTGGGGACACGTCTTTACGGTTCAAGCTTCGTGCCACTCGCTGTCCTGTACTGTGGTATGAACCCAAGACAACCGACTCCCTGAACCAAGCAACCCTCAAGCCGGGCGCCCAGGGCTGCAGGCCGCGCCGCGCCTCAGGTTTCGTCGCCGCCACGTTCTGACGCGACTGTGGGCAGCGCAGTCCGTCCTCGACCGCGCAGTGTAGAAGCCCATGCCACCAGGGGGGCCTCTCGGCCCGTTAGAAGCGCTTACCCGAAAGAAGTTTCTCCTCAGTGTGAGGCTGGAGAGGGCAACGGATGAGTTTGTCGGTCCTACGGCCCCGGGAGCTGGCGGTGACGACATCAGCGCGCGCAGCAATGGCAAGATACGGAGCACGGCAAACCGGAAGGGGCGGGGCGACCCAGCTGTGGCGCGGTGCTTTAACGTCACAGCCGCGGCCGTGGCTTCCGAGCTGAGCTTTTGAATATGTCGCGCCAGCTGAGAACCTCTAGATTTGACCCTCGTGCGGGATTTCACACGGAGGGCAAGGACAGTGGCCCCTCAGTTCCGCAGGGCCTGCTGAAGGCAGCGAGGAGCAGCGGCCAGCTCAACTTGGCGGGAAGGAACCTCGGGGAAGGTGAGATGCACGCAAACAGCCTCCTCGGAGGCCGGGCCGCCGGGTCCCCTGAGCACACACCCGTGCCATCGTCTCCTGGAAGAGGCCCTGCTAGGACTGTTGCTATGACTTACACGGAGTGTTCGTTGGGATGTCCACAGAACGTGGGATAAACATCGTAGTTTGAGATAGATGATAGGCAGGTACTTTATTTGACCATCACCTTTCTCTTAATATAGTCTTAACCAGAACTCCTTTGTGAGCTTAGAATGAACACTTTCCTCCTCTGTAAAGACCCTTCTTTTTTCAGCCGAGAAGAATCCCAGTGGCAAATAATGATCATTTTTCCTAAGTAATGATTCAGAATAAATGCTGCACTATTAGAAGTAAAGTATAAGATTTTAATCTATGCAAGTAGAAAAAATATTACAGAAAGAATTACTTTTCATTCCTCTCTCTGTCCCTGTCCACACACACCACAAAAGTACATATACTTGGTAGTATGCAGAGTTGTACTTGTTGGTCATTCACGGGTTTCTCAAGATGTTCTCAAATCCATACACTTTCCAGACTAGTTATTACTCGCTAATATGCTATCACTGGTTGTCATAGTTAGGGTTGCTGTGATAAAACATCATGACCAAAAGCAAGTTGGAAAGAAAAGGGTTTATTTAGCATCATCAAAGGCAGTCGGCAGAAAGCTAGAGGCAGGAGCTGATGCAGAGGCCGTGGAGGGCTTCCTAGTTTGATCCTCATGACTTTCTCATTTCTGATAGTCCCTTAGACCGCTAGTCCAGGAAACCACCCACAATGGGCTGGGCCGTTCCCCATCAGTCACTAATTAAGAAAATGCCCTACAAGCTTGCCTACAGCTGGGTTTTATGTAGGCTGTTATTTAATTGAGGTTCCCTCTTTTCCGATGACTTTAGTTTGTGTCGAGTTGACATAAAACTATCCAGCACAATGGTCACAGGAACAAAGATGGCAAAATACTGTAGACCATGTTTTGACATTAGAAATTATGTAATGTAAGTATGAACATAGTGAATGGGATGAGGAAGAGTAAGGGAAAGGGAGACAGTAAGCTGAAGGAAGAGGTAAATAGAAAAGGATGCTATGGAAAAGAGCACAAAATTAAAAAAAATTTTTTTTTCTAATAGTAAAAAAATTCACGAACAAAATTAGATAAATGTAAGGAGAAGAAAAAACAAAACAACTGTTTTCGTGTGTGTGTGTGTGTGTGTGTGTGTGTGTGTGTGTGTGTGTGTGTGATTACATATAGTATGTGTGCATGAAGAGGCCGAAGGATATTGGTTGTCCTGCTGCCACTTTCTTCTTTATTCCTTTGAGACAGGTTCTCATTGAAGCAATCCCCTTGTCTCTGCTCCCCACAGCACTGAGGTTACTGGGACACAAGACAGTGCTCAGCTTTTTACATAGGTTCTGGAGATTTGAACTAAGAGTCCCATGCTTGTGCAGTAAGTACTCTTACTTGCTGAGACATCTTCCCAGCCCAAGAACATTTTGAAAAACAACAACAATAAAAAAAAAAATACTAAATGGGAGGTGGGGACAGAAGTAAAAAAGCAAACAGACAACTGAGGAAGGAACAGAAAGAAATTGTTGTAGTTAGGGTTACTATTGCTATGATGAAACACCATGACCAAAAGCAAATTGGGGAGGAAAGGGTTTTATTTTGTCTATGCTTCCATATCACTGTTAGTCATTGAAGGAAGTCAGGGCGGGAACTCCAACAAACAGGAATCTGGAGGTAAGAGCTTATGCAGAGGTCATGGAGAGCATGCTTACTGGCTTGCTCCCCATGACTTGCTAAAGTCAGTTTTCTTATAGAACCCAGGACGACCTGCCCAAGGGTAGCCCCACCTGGGCCCTGCCACATCAATCCCTCATTAAGAAGATACCCTACAGGACTGTCTATAGCTAAATCTATTGAGATGTTTTTCAACTGAGGTTCTCTCCTGTCCAGTGGCTCTAGGTTGTGTCAAGTTGACTTAAAACTAGATAAAATATTGCTCCCAAGTGGGGAGAAAAAACATAAACAAGTTAGATGAATGTGGGGAAAGGAATAACAAACACAAAATTAAAATAGAGAATAGTAAAAATTCTTCCAGACATACTTGCAGGGGGAAAAAAAAAGATGAGATATTGGAACAACTTTCTGCTCTTTTCCCATACCCTTCCCCTTTTTGAATTTCCAAAGGTTTTCTTCTGTCTGTCTCTGGGATTAAAATCTGTTTTCCTTATTTTGACTCTCTTTTACCATCTCATACAGAGGCAAGCCTCCATTCTACCATCCCACTGGGAAGTCTCTGGTAAATATGAATGACAATGAAAGCAGGGCATAGCCAGAGATTGCCTTGAGTAATATTCCAAGTTCTGTGCTAGCCTGCCTATAGCCCTACCTTTGTCCCAGGAGTGGAGGGTCTCTTTATACAGTTAGGCTACACAAGTGCAGAAGCAGCTTTGCTACCCCATGTTAACAAGCTTCTTCCTGAAGATTCAACCTTTCTTTGTTTGTCTCAGTGCAGGGTTAGGGATAGAATGTAGGGCCTTGCCCAGAGGCAAGCACTCTAGTGGAGCTTCCACTTTGTAGTGAAAGTTCTACTCACTAAATTATAGGAGTTACCTCAGTAGAATAACAGTTTTGTGTGATAGGTAAGAAACAGAATTATGTCTGGAACAGTGGAGAATAGCTGCGAGGGTCAGATGTCTTTCATAGGCTGTAATGGGAAGTGGCTCTGCAGGGCTTAGAGTGCAGTGCTGACTTAGCTGTTGAACCCTGGGTGCAGTTCCTTTTGCCTCGTTTTCCCACCTACAAAATGGGGATAGTAATAGCACCTGTCTCACGGAGTTGTTAGGAAATTTTAGTGTTGTATTTTGTGTTTTCAGTGCTAGGAGTCAAGCTCAGGGTCTCATGTAAAATACACATTTCAGTCTTGTTTTTTTGTCTGTTTGCTGTTTTTTTCCCAATAAATAAATTTACACTGTGTTTGTAATTTATTGATGTTTGGCTTATTGGAATTTAAATACTTTTTTGTTTTACATTTATTTATCTGTACACTTAAGGGCAAGTAAGAGAACAACTTGCAGGAGTTGGTTTTTGTGGTGATATTGTGTTCTCCAATATAATGTGCACCCTAATAAATTTATCTGGGGTCAGAGGACAGAACAGGCACTAGACATAGAGGCCAGAAAATGGTGGCACACATGTCTTTAATCCTATTACTTGGGAGGCAGAGATCCATTTGGATCTCTGAGTTTAAAGCCACACTGGAAACAGCCAGGCATGGTGCCTCACACCTTTAATCTCAGGAAGTGATGGCAGGAAGCAGAAAGGTATTTAAGGCATGAGGACCGGGAATTAGAGCTGGTTAAGCTTTTAGGCTTTTAGCAGCAGTTCGGCTGAGATTCATTTTGGATGAGGAATCAGAGGCTTCCAGTCTGAGGAAACAGGATCGGCTGAGGAATCAGCAAGGTGAGGTGGCTGTGGCTTGTTTTGCTTCTCTGACCTTCCAGCATTCACCCCAATACCAGTCTTCGGGTTTGTTTTTATTAATAAGACCCTTTAAGATTCCTGCTACAGATTTTCTTCACCATGTATGTTCTGGGGTTCAAACTCATATGATCAGGCTTGACAGCAAGTGCACTTACCACTGTGATGGTTTGAATGAGAATGTCCCCCATAGATGCATATGTTTGAATACTTTGTCCCCAGTTGGTGGAACTTAGGAGATGTAGCTTTGTTAGAGAAGGTATGTCACTGAGGGTGGGCTTTGAGGTTTTGAAAGACTCCTACATTCCCAGTGTGCCTTTCTCTGCCTCATGACTGTAGCTCAGGACTCAAGCTCTCAGCTGATCTTTTACTCCACCATCATGAACTCTGACCCTGTGAAACCATAACCCAAATTAAACACTTATTTTATTAAGTTTCCTTGGTCATAGTGTTTTATCACAGCAAAATAGAAAAGAAACCAATACACCCACTGAGCTGTCCCTTAGGCCCTGGAAGTTATTTGGATCTATTTGTAAGCTGAGTATTCAATGAGTGTGTCACTTAGTGTTCACTTCATTTTTATCTTTTTTCCCTTTTCTTTTTGATGTGGTGGTGTTGGAGATAGTCCCTCAGTGTGTTTGGAGAATAAATGTGGACATTCCTGAGGAGGCTAATCAGAATCTTTCATTCAGTTCTACTGAACGGTGGTGGGAGCAGACAGATCTGACCAAGCTCATCATCTCCAGCAATAAACTTCAGTCTCTCTCTGATGACCTCCGACTCTTGCCTGCCCTCACTGTTCTTGATGTAAGTTGACTGTAATTATGATATCTTAGTTGAAAAGACTTAATTTGAGCCAAATGGAAGAGCTAAATTTATACTTTGCTAAACAGGAAATCTTCCTTGCTGAGCTTGTAGAATACAAGATAAATGACAATCAGATTCAGAAGGTTGGCTCTGTGTCTCCATGTCCACAGACCTGGTGGAAATCCTGTGATTAAATGAGTCAGCATATACAAATAGAACTGGCACTTGGCTTCTTTTTTTTCCTTGTTACCTTTTATTCTAGTCACTAAAGCAAGTATAGGACTCGGGCCTTTTACATTCTTGTTTTATAACTTGTCCTCAGACAACTTGCCCTCAGACTGAAACTGTTCAATCAAATTTTTTATGTTTTTAACTGAGTCTGTTTTGTAGTGCAAGTTGTCCTGTCCTGCAATAAGTGAAGTATAAAGGATTTATTTCAGAATCTATAGACTTTTA